TATGCATTTAGATGAAATGATGCTAAAATATAGCCATCTTCATTCCCCTTTCATTCAAAATGAATGATCAAAGTTAGGATAAAGTTTTCGATCACACAGAATCCTGCTTAGGTAGTAGTGTATGCATGTGTGTGTGTCTTATACGTTTTGTTTCGGGCTTTCAATTTCAAGCGCCAGAAATGCTAGGAAGCCGCAGTTATGCTAATTCGCAAGTTTAAATTCAGCTTCTTCATCCTCTTATATATAGAGATATTAGATATGGAATTTTTGGCACGTGGCCACACTAAAGTGGGAGCCAGAAAAGCTAGAAAGTTGGGAATTTTGGGTGAGTTTTTTGCCTGTGCAGGACCTCGCAATCTCGAATTCGGTTTCCACTTATATCTGGGTCTCACGCACGGACAAATAAAAGTTTTGGCGCGAAAGTCACCAATTAGGAAGCTAGAAGAGGCAGAAAGCTGGAATAGCATGGGGATGTTCCTCACCTGTGCGGAGGTTCGCGAACTTCAGTTTAGCTTTCATGCACACTTGAGCCTCATATATGGCAGGCAAAAGTTTTGACAGAAAATTTTCTAACTCGGAATTTGAATAAAACTGAAAAATTTTTGTTTCCTGGTTATGTACAACTACGTAAATTTTAAATCAGCTTACGTCTGAATCTCATTTTACTGATCTTGTGGGTGTACTGGTGAGAAATTTTCCGCCTGACAATCGACAATACGGAAAACTGGAAATAAGATGATGCCGCCTATCTGTATGTAGTCTTGGAATTTCAAATTTAATTTTCATGTTCGCTTAATTCTCGCGTATTGAAACGGAAATTTTCCCGTGGGAGATTTTTGGTTGGGAGATCAGACAGGATATCGAATATTTTCGGGGTATCTTTTTGTGTGTGCAGCCCTACAAACTTAAACTTAGCTTTAAAATGCACTTACGTCTCACGTACCGATACGTGGGGTTTTTGATATGAATTTTCATAGCTTAGGAACTAGTCAACATATCGGCTATCTGTGGGCGCACCAAAGTGTAAATCTGTGAAAATTTTTTACAGCA